AAACGCTGTCTTAAGGTCCGACAGGTTCGGCACCGGGCACCGCCTCGGTATACAAAATGCGCCTGTGGGCGGCCCCCTTATCACAGATCACGTTGAGTGAGATGAACGACGTGATTTCAATCAAGCCGGACGTTTCACTTCTGGCCGCGAACCCCCTGCAGCGGGCAGATCGGCCAAAACATATGGGGCTTTTCGGGCGAAAGAAGGCTGGCACCGCCAAGCTAGAGACACGTACGGCGGCAACGTCGCCCACCACAAGCCCAAGTGAGAGCCTCAACCCGTCGCCGATGAGCTCACCCGGTCGGGGCACGGCCAGCAAAGCACCGCCGGCTCGAACCTCACCGGCAGGGTCTGCACCACTGCAGCCTTCACACCTCAATCTCGGCCCCTCGAAGAGCACGACAGAGGCACTGACGGTGGAGGAAGCGCACAAACAGAGCGTCGCGTCTCTCCGGCCGGGCGATGAGGCGTATGTCGCGGTCGTTCCGTCGTGCCTCACGGCCGGCCCGACGAGGAAGAGGCCCGGCGTCTTTGTGCTCTCGTCCTGCTCTGTGAGAAGCGGGGCGCCCTCGGCGCACCCTGCGGCTGCGCCATCCTTCTCCTCGCCCCCCGTCTCCTTGCCCTCGCCGCCCTCACCGCCCTCGCCGGGGCCCTCGTCTTGGTTGCCCTTCTCCTTCTTCGCGCCCCACTCGAACAAGCCCTTCGCCACCCCCGAGAGAACACTCCCCTCGAAGCCAGCGCATAGCACCGGCGGCTGCGGCGTGCACAGCGACACCTCGCTCCCCTCGGCGGGCGCCTCCTCGGCAGCGGAGGCGGGCTGCAGCGGCGCCCGGTATTCGCCGCCAGCGTGCTCTGCCGGCGGACCCCACCGCGCCCGCACGACGTATCCGCCCGCGTCGCCTCGCCCGGCCCGCTCGACCGCAAAGACCCGCAGCGGCGCGAGCAGGCGCGGCGGGGTGGGCGAGGCGCACGCCGCGCGGACCCGCTCCGCCGTGTAGGGAGCGAGCTCGGTCGAGGGGTCCTCGGTGGCCACGCGCCAGTAGGCCGTCGAGGAGACGACGGAGCACCGCCTACCTCGCGGCGGCCGTCCTCTCTTCCTGATCAACGTGCACGCCCCTGCTCAGTCGGCGAAAGCGCCTCCCGCTCGCCGCGAGGTTGGACGCGGCGTCCATCCCGCTCTCGTAGCCGCCGATGACGACAAAGTCGTCGCCGGGCAGCTCC